AAATTTTACTACTGCTGTTGATGTTGTTGAAGCTTCATTTGTAAAATTCAACTTTTTTTGCACCAATCAACAACGACCCGAATCCATTACGATTATTGCAAACATTAAAATACAACTCCATTAGCAAGCGAATGTTGCATACAGAGAGAGAGAAAGAGAAAGAGCAAAATAAACTACAGTTTCGAAAACCGAAATGACTTTTGGTATCAATCTGCTGCTTTTTTGTTTTCATTTGCTCGTTTCCATTTCGAAATTGTTTTTTTTTATTATTGGAATGATATGAGATTTTTTTTGTATAGATTCCCAAGTGGGTTAATAGTTGGAATGTATGGAAAACGAGCATTTCAACAAAATTGTCATTCATTTATTTTTTTTTAAATTTTTATTCAGATCAATATTTGGTTTTGTTAACATTGGTTTAATAAAAATTCCAATGAAAAAATCCGTTCAAAAAATTCTCCCTTTGAAAAAAAGAAAAAAAAAAATTGTTGAGCCAAAAAGTTGCGATTCACACATTTATTAGGATTAACTTATATTTCATAATACAGTTGAAAAATAAGAGAATCTTCCGTTTGGCAAAGGATTTATTTTATTTCAAGCATATGTTTTGGCATTCGGATTAACCTGATTTGTTTCGCTAGCATTGAAAAAGGAAAAAAAAAATGTTCGTAATGTGTTGTGCAATTGTTGTTAGCAGCAAAAATGAGTAAGGCAAGGCTAAGTAGCTGGCAGCAATAAATCTGCAGAGAATTTATTGTGTGTGCTTGGTGTGGAAGAGCGCAACATGTTTCGCCGTTGCATGCAATTGTGCAGAACAAGTTGTGTACATTCGAAAGTCTATTGTTGTACAGAAAATATTAAACGATTAAGGAAAATCGAACAAAAATCCGACAATGAACGTGCTGTTTCGAACACTCAAGACTGCAATTTTATCGATAGAGTAAGTAATAAACAATAATTCGAAAATGTTGCCAGCGAGTAGTTAATTTTTTGTTCCGTCTTTTTTTGTCTTTTGATTCAATGGGATTTTTTTTTCGAAGCTTATAAAGCAACAATATCTTTATCTGTGCAGCAGACTGTGAGTAATGAATAGCCATCGTCGAAGAATACTAGTCGCAACTAGTTCATTGTAAAATCAACAACAGTAAACACTTTTTTTTTCTACACAATTTCGTAGTTTGGATTTGCTGGTTTTACTCAAATATTTGCGCTCGAAATTGAGCTGAACTGAGCAGATGCGACGAATGGAAATTGATTCGTGTGTACTGTATGTTGGTTGTATTTTGCAACGATTAATTGTTTATTCGCCCCATTTCGATTCGTGCTCATTAAAATTAATAAGGTGTTGCTCGATCACGAACGAGCATTTAATTCATAATGAGCTTATGTTTCCCATTGATAATTCATATTTATTTCTGAGGGATAATTTCAATGTTTTTCCAAACGAAATTTGTATTACGATGATGAGAGGGCGTACGATGCTGATGTGCCATATAAATAGTTGACACGTTTAATCGTTTTCGCCACAAATACACACAAAATTGAATGTGCAAACATCGAAGAAGGCACTCTGAAAAATATGAAGTGTTTATGACAGTCATACACAAAGCTAATTGAAATCGCATATTTCTGTGTGGGGTCGAGATGTGATCAAAATGTGATATTTCAAAACGCATGTCACACGGAACGACACACTGACAATGGCAAAACGAATACAATTCCATTTTGTCAGAAGTGACACACAGGCGGTTTACATTGAATGTACGGCAGATATTTTCAAATGATTTGCGTGTTAGATATATACTTGGCATTATCCTTTTGTGATGAAGCAAAAATAACCTTTGATTTCTGCGCATGAAAATGGACGTCCAATACCAAAAATGGCATAAACTAAATTATCAGATGCTGCTAACAAACTTATCGCATTCACTCGTTTACTACATTGAAATGTTCCAAAAAAAGAATTTGATGTCAGATAAGGAGGCAAACAAAGAAGAAACTGGCATACACTTGTGCATCTGTCTTCATTACAATACGATGATGAGATAACAAATCACGCCAAAAAGAGACATTGCCATTGGGATATTTGACGACTAGCCTCGATCCAAACAGAAATACTTCGCTCGCAATGAGCAAATGAAACCAAATTCAAACAGTAAATGAATGAATGAAAAACCTCAAGCATTCACACACACACACACACACACACTCAAGAAACAGAGTCCATTCAAAGAGCAAATGCAACGAAAAAGTTGTACGTAGGTCTTCTGGCTCTGCTTTGGTCAAATGTTGTTTTTAATTTAAAAACCGGGCTCCAAATGACAAGAATAATTAAGTGAATCAAAATGGCTGAGAGAGAAGAGTATATGCGGAAAATGGTGTAAATTAGGTCGTTGTAACCAATCGTCGAGTACATACAAAATTCAATCAAATTCAATCGAGTAAATGGCTTTTGAGAGTACATATTTTTCAACATGTAATCTTTATCAACACACCATCATCACCACCACCACAGCCATGTCAAAAGACTGCTTTCGACACAAACAGACACAAAACTGCAGATGAGATTGTATAAAATCAATTGAATGGGATGCGAACAATTCAAAGAGAAAACATTTCATTAATTTGAATGAGCCGCTCGAAGTCTCTCTCTCTCTCTCTCTCTCTCTCTTTCTTTCTCTCTCTCTCTCTGGCAGAGGTGTTGGTGTGACGATAACAAAGCATTATATTGGAGTAGTTGGATGTGAGGAATTTGGAGTAGATTTCATTATTCAAGATGATTTCAGCAAACTTATTGATTAGTTACGGTGTGTTTGAAGGTGTGAACAGTTGCTCATACGAGCCGTTCAACGTTTTTGCTTCCAAAAATACACCGCAAACAATGTGTGTGAGAGAGCTTGCGTGTGTGTATCTGTGATATCCACTTGAAGGTGAATCACTTGATTTCAACAACTGCGTCACTATCAACAACGTATGTTATTCAAATTTGCGATTGCCATATTTGCAAAACGACCCATCTTCCAACCTCCCCCGGAAAGGGTTTCAACTGTTGACTTTGAATGTATCTTTGAATTTTGAATAATAATGGAAAATTCACTAACGATGAACGGACCGATTTAAGGATTGAACCGTTCATTATAACCATTCGCAGGGAAAACATGTGTTCAAAATAAAGTTTTACGTTACGAAAATGCTACAATGATTCTTCTTTTCGCTTCGATGTTCCGAAAAATCATAATCACCTGCGGTGTGGTTCTCTCCTTTTTTCTCCTCCTCTGGATTGCATATTCCATGGTTGGAACGAGCACCGAATCAAAATCCGAGCATCGACATAATAGTGAGTGGCATGTGAAGGAAACATTTTCAGTTTGGGGATTCGTTTAAACACTCGACAAATATTTGCTCAATATAATTGATCTGGTGTGCGATGTGCTTGTGGGTTTCATCAGAGCCGCTTTTCTCCGTTCTCGCTCTCCCTTTCTACCTCACCACTCTCACTCTGATTTAAAATGTTCAAGACAAACAAATCGTTTAGTACGTCGCTTATTGTCATCGATTCATTGCCGTGATTGCTAACATAGATTGTTACATGGGAGCCGAGTCTCGATTGCAATTGAAATCGGTTGCATTGTGTCAAACATTCCAAGTAAATAGAAAAAAAATAAATTTTTTCGCCACATTTCTTTTGGGAATTGTAATGCAAACACACCACATTCCACTCGATGTATTTTGATGACAACAGACAGCTCACTGCCATACAAGAATGCCCGAAAAAAAATCGAATCGTACAAAAGTGGAACGGCGTTTGTTTTTAGTGACAAAACTCATTATATTCATTACGGTGGTTGCACTCTTTTCTCTCCCTCTCTCTCTTTATGCAACAAACGGCATACCTTTTTGTTACGACCAATTGCAAAGTTTTGTCTTTTATCGCAATCATTTCAATACCAACGGCAAACAATCTCTTCCGCAACTTTCCAACTAAACTAACAAATTAGATCCGAAAATAAAACATTGCCGTCTTTTTTTCTCTATTCAATCTACTCCACACATTATGTGGTAATTGTGTGTCTGTGTGTATGCACGTTTGAGTGCATTTAATCGCCGTTAGTCAAATGTCGGAGAGCACGACACAGAGAGCAGCCAAGGAACAGTCAAGGACCAGGTTAGCTTTTTATTGCACGATATGAACGTGATCACATTGTTTCTCGCTCGTAAATGTGTGTGTGTGTGCTCATTTTCTACTTGTGCTACGTTTGCTACTTCTTTTCTCTTTTGTCAGCGTCGCATTGTTTGTCGAGATTACAAATAAAAATTGATATCCGGCTTTGTTCGCTTCCTATTACATTTCCTTTCATTTGCGAATACGATATCCACATGACACATTGTACTCAACTCGGTGTGTTTATACTCACTCTTTGTTTGTCTATGAAGATGCGCACTTTTCCTCTTGGATCTCTTCTTTAAGTTGACACAATTTTCTAATAACATGCATGTCAATTGTCAAACCAACTACTTATTATACAATACACAGACTGCCATGTGATTTGGTCGTTTTTGTCACTGATGGACATAAAGAACCATCACAAATATTGACACACAGCTCATTCGCAATTCAGAGCGATTTCAAAAAAAAAAAAACATTTGAAAAATTTTCAATTGTTCGGCGCTGATTCAAAACCAAAATCCAATATTGGGAAAACATTGACCGGAGACTTTGAGTTATTGACAAAAAAAATTATTGTTATACAAAAAAAAATCCTACATTTTCCATATGCCGGTTAGGCATAATGTGCGACCACCGGAGTGTTGCTTCCGTACTAGTTTCGATTAAAACGTTCCTTCCACTGTCGCGCGACACACAAGGATGCTGTTTACAAATGAATGCTGTCTCTTTTTCGAGTACGAGACGTGGACCAAACGTCGCCTCACACAACATAAATCAAATTGCAAGTGCACATCTGGAAGCTCAGTTGTGATTGAATAGAATCAACACGTCATTTTTAAAATACCATTTTTATTTGATTAAATTTAAACAATTAAATTTCCTATATGCAATTCATTATTATATTTAGCCCTTGCATGTGATCACCGAAAAAAATTATTTGCTATCGATTCGAACACTATTAGTTATAACTAATAATACTGATAATTATCAGTGATATTTTAGTAGCATCACAAAAAGATGTTTCTTTTACATTTTCGTTTTCGTTTTCTGAACTTTTCATTTGATTGCCATTTTAACATTCTTCTCGTTTCGTGCCAATGAGTCACGCCATTTTTTGAGCAGTTTTCGCAGCCGATTCGATAGGTATTTGTTGGTGGTTTTGCGACGCAAACGACGAATATAAGTTACCAAACGCGTCGTAGCCAGTTGTGATACCGGGATGTCGATCTTTTCGAATGTATCGATTGTATTCAAAACTGTTGCCATATCAGTCACCTGATAAAAAAACACACGAAATTGGTTTTAGTCAAGCATTGACGTAATCAGAAAAGAAAAATTTTTGATGTTCATCAACGATGCTTTCTGATGTTTATGTTTGATAGAAAGGGAAAAACAATATGTAAACGGCAATGTTTGGACAAACAATTTTTTTTTTTGTCATTTGTTTACCTTGTAATTTTTGTCGAACGATTTCAGCAAGCGATGCAATAGCTCTGGAACACTTGTTGTTTCGAAAAATCGATCGTCATCCATGATAACAGCTTCAAACACCGAACTGGACACGACACGACGTGACTTAGGCTGCTTCATTGGAGCATTCCGTAGAATGTCACGCCATTGGTGAAGCACAATTTCCAAGCGATATTTTAGATATTGATTCGTTGTTTCGACATACAAATCTTTCATGTATTCACAAATTTTCGTCGATTCCAATTCTTCCTTTGTCAGTTGAATTTGTTCGAATACCGACATTGTTTGCATTGCCATATCCATGTCAGCAATCTAAAATCCAAAAGAATATATATATGAAAAATTAAAAAATATCTCCAACAAATTTGCAAATGATATGCAAATATTTTCTTTACATCCAAAACGTCATCCAACGAATGCAACAATTGTTCGTATAATTTTGTGATCCAATTTGCCATACTGAAGCCTTTGAATAATAAACAATTTGAAAAATTTAATCGAACGAAAAAAGACTATTGTTTCAATATCAAAAAAACGAAGAAATTGATTTCCGATCGGGTGCAAGCGCTTCACACGAATAACCTCAAACAATTGTCATTGTTGCAACTCATTTAGCCGGTGTTGAGCGATTGTGTGTCGAAAATTAGTTCATTATAGGATTATAATACATGTATTGTTTACAAATGGATGCTGTCTCTTTTTTGCTAACTGTTTATTTTTCGAGTGCGAGACGTGGACCAAACGTCGCCTCATAAAACATAAACCAAATTGCAAGTGCACATCTGGAAGCTCAGCTGTGATTGAATAAAATTAATGCGTCATTTTTAGAATGCCATTTTTATTGGATGAAATTTAAACAAAAGAAAATTGCATAAAAATGGATATTAAGCCAATATGATTCATAGTTGTTTGTTTGCTTGCAAAATATTTCAAACATATTATTACATGTTATCACAAATGGGTGCGTTTACATCATCTAAAAACCTGTCAACGTTCTCACATCGTGTTGGCGTTTGACACTCTCATGACAGTAGAAATGTCAAAACAAAATTCACTGTAGTGGAAAAGAAGAAAAATTTGCTCGCAATTCCATCTGCATTGTTGTGAGCTGTGGCAATTTTTATTGCTGCAAAATGTCGAAGTTACCGCAATATCTTGGTTTGGATAAACTCGCCAAAGCCTGGGAGATTATTAGTTTCAATGGTGGTCTTCGAAATAGTTTTTTCAAGTTGTATAGGTAAGCTTTGGCCATACAATGAAGCATCCTTCGGGTGATGTGTTGTGATTATGTAATATTTCTCGGTAAATCGTCAATAAACTACAAAAATCGAATTGTTTTCTATTTCCAGGTTTGACGACTTGAAAATTGGTAAACTTGTCGGCACCGATAAATACGGTAATAAATACTATGAAAACAATTACTATTTCTATGGTCGCAATCGTTGGGTGGAATATGCACCACACATCCATATGAACTACGATGGTTCCCAAATTCCAGCTGAATGGTTCGGTTGGATGCACTACAAAGTAAGTTTATCTGTATCAGCACATCGCAGTTGTAATGAACATTTTGACTAATTTGTTTCGACAAATAATTCGACTAATATTATTGCATTTTGATAGACTGACCGAATTCCAACTGAAGACCCACATCGGCCACAGTACAAATGGATGTCGGATCACTCTGAAAATCTATCTGGCACACCAGGTTTTTAATTTAAACTTTGAATCAATCATAATTTCAAATTTGATTCATGTTTGTAACTCATTTCATTTTCATTACTTTCAGACCAATATGCGGCATACTCAACGGTCAAACCGAAAATCGAAGCATGGCAACCACCAAAAAAATGAATTTCAAAAAATGAAGCCAACTGTAGTTTTTTTCTGTCAAAAGCTATTATGTATTTAAATTTAATAACAATAAATGAGGCGTAAATGAGTCGAACGGTTTTTTCTATTTAAAAAAAATGATCGAAATCAATGTGTATCGACACAAATGGGAGAATCTACGAAAAGGAAATTGCTTATAATCAATGCATCATAAGCTTATGGTGCTGGTGGCGCAGTTGTTGGTTGCGGGGCTGATGGAGTCAGATGTTGACCGGGTGCACGGCGAGGTGGTAGCATTCCCAAGCGAGCCGTCGGAAGAATGGTGCCAGGAGCAATTTTCTTAAACTCCAGTATCGAACCAAACAGCACGTGTTGAATCATAGGGAATTTGGCGAGCAACTGCAATGGGCAAAAGAGTTGTTTAAGATCAAAAAATACAACAATTCAATTCAATTGAGTCAATATGACAACAACAACAATCTCATAGTCAATACAAATTAGATGGAAGTTGTACAATCCCCAGAAAAATGTTCCACAACGGAAAAAATTGGAAAGTTTCCATGTAAAACCTCTTTTTTACCTCTTTTGAAGATTTACCTCTTTTTGATACTTTTTAACCAAACCGGAATTAATTTTAACCCACGAATCAACGCTGCTGATGCTCCACAGTTGATTGGAGTGTTCGGCAAAGCTGCCCGTCTTCACCTATTCAAGAAATCAAAAAATATCCATAATCGAAATCAATGCAACTCGTGGTCCATCACAAACCTGTAGAATGTAATCGATACACCCGATGAAGTAGTATTCATTTTTGTACCGATCGATGACATCAGGCTCAAGGAAGTGATGTGGTTCGAATGGTGCGTTCACAGCTAATTGAGCGCTGCCCCAAATGAATGGCACGTATTGATAGTCATCCAGGCTCCAAACACCATGACTACCGGCCGGTTCCATGCGATAACAAATTTGCAAACGACGCACAAACACCAAATATGCGTTGAATATTTTCAATCCAGTGTATAAATTGTCGCTTTCACTCAACGCATGAATTTTATACAGTGCACACAAAAACATGATGAAGGCCAATTCATGGCCGGTTCCATAGTCGATTCGCGTGGCATTGCCAAATGACTCAACAAAGTATGCACTGACTTCAATGAGCGCTGGATGGAATTCGGCTGGCAATGCTTTCTTCAGCAATTTCGGCGATTCAGTTTTCATCTTTTCGAACCAATCACGGTACGCTCTATTGCCAAATCGCTGTGGCTGTTCCAGCGGCGGTGTTTCGTCCACCATTTTATTCAATTCATCAAAGATCTGCAACAGATTATCAGTAATTGGCGATGGGTCCACTTTTATGGTGAGTTTCTTTCCTTGTATTGCTTGACTGATTGCATTTATGAAGCCAATGATATCATAATATGCGGTCGACTTCTCCCAAAGTGCCATATCATTTACACTTTTGACGGATCGCACCGGTACGACGTATTTACGCTCTATTCGATAACAAAAAGAACAACAAAGAAACTACTCAGTCTTCTCTATTTTTTTCTCACAACAAATATCAATGTTTACCATTCGATGTTGACGCTTCAGTTTCAGTCCCCGGATCAGTCATTTTTCCTGTATTTTTATTACTTGAAAGAAAGAAAGCCTTTTTTTATGTGAAGAGACAACAAATTTGCGTTTATTTTGAACGAAAAATTTCCACAATATAAAAATGATGCATACACAAAACGTCACTGTCAACGTCAAAACTTGTCAACAGTTCGTTTGGTTAAACTGACGATTTATTTAAATGCTTAATGAATCGGCTGATTTTGAATGAAAAAATATGGTTTTTATGAGTATAACTTTATATTTTGATTTCTGTGTTTAGATTAGAGAAAAAAAAATTAGCAGACGTTCTCTGGATCTTCATCATTATCGGCGGGCTCTTCTTTGGGCTCAACTTTTATGAATGGTCGGTGTCTTTCTTCTTTGATAAACACTTTTGGCGATGGTTCGCCTTCCTCACGTTGTCCGTTGTGTACTTCGTAAGCACGTTTCATGCGTCCTTTATTGAAATCTTGCACCATTTCGTGAACGACAATGCGATTCGGATAGTCTTTTCCGATTTCACATTTGTAGCGACGTTGTTCACCCGCTGATGCTTTCCACGGCTCATAAATCAAATGACTCGGATAATCTTTCAATTCTGGACAATACTTTCGAATGTAGTTACCATACGGATCGGTTTTCTTTCCGAATGCAACTGGCGAATAAACACGGAAATACTGATAGAAGAATGCTGAAGCTGACAGCCACATCCAGTTGCCGGCGTTCAATGCCCAATCGGCATCCAGTAACAGCTCTTCAAATACGTGTTGTCCATGCTCCCATGACACATATAAATCACCTCTGAAATTTGAAACGAATTGAAAAATGTTGAATAAAAAAATTAATTCCATCTGTAAAAATCTTCGAACAATCCGAAAACATACCGTGTCAAGAAGCAAGCGACTGCGTGACGAGCCAAATGATGAATCCAACCCTCTTGGCGTAGCTGCCGCATGATGGCATCGATGAATGGATAACCTGTTCTACCATGAGCCCATGCATCCAGCAGATCTGCATCGTATTGCCATGGAATTTGTCTGCAAATTCGATTCCCGACCATTTTGTCAAAGTTTGGCTCGGCTGCTGCGGCCGTATAGTAAAACTCCCTCCACATCAGTTGACCCATCAAGCTTACGGGCGGCTTACTATATTTCGATGCCTTGCTCAATACTGCTTTCAATTTGTGATAAAACAATCGTGAGCTAAGGCATCCGAATGTAATGTACGGACTAAGAACCGTCGTGCTAGGTTCAATTGAATTTGGTGCCGTGTTAGGCTTTTCAAATTCCCAAATCCACTTTTTTCTACTTAACATTTTTTCCATTCGATCGAGGCCTTCCTTTTCGCCACCGGGAAACTTATTTGGACCTAATTCGGTTTCATTCAATGGTAACTCACTTAACTCGGGCAAATCGTAGCATGACGCCTTTGCTTCTTCCTTTGAGTCTTTCGGCGCTTGGTGTTCCTTTTTCAACTTGTGCTTACTGGTGATTTCGAGCGCTGGCGCAACTTTTTTGTGCTCAACGAGTGAAATGAATGATTGGTACCGCATTGGCACCTGGTTGTTATTACTTTGCAGCACCAAATGTGGATTGTACACCGTGTGCGAGTGGAATTCGTCAAGTTTTACATTGTGCTGACCTGCGTGTATCTTGACCAATGCATCACGACGCTGATTGAACGACTCGATTTCCGATTCAAATGTCATGAGTGTTACATTCCACTCTTTGAATATTCTGGGCATCTCATTCTTTGGTGTTCCACGAATCACATACAATCTTCGTAACATCAGTATATAAAAGAAAATAAATTAAAAATATTTATATTTGAATGAAAGAACAAAAAAAAAAATCACGCAAATTTACCGTGTGTTCAACGTTTTGAGATTTTCATCGAGTTGCACCAGTGACTGTTGCAAAAATCGCCATTTGTTTGCACTCATGCGCCAAAATTGAGTCCATTCTGGATCAAGTATGTAAATTGGACGCAGTACATGGTCTTTGTTCTTTTGTACTGCCTCAATTGCTGCAATCAATCCAGGATTATCATGTATCCGCAATCCCTTTCTGAACCAATGTATAACCGTCTTTCGTTTATCCATTTTTCAATTTCAGAATTTTTTTCAAACGAAATCAATTAATTTTTACTATGAATTTAGAATTTAGAATTTCGACAAGATGCAACCAAAACAAATGCCAAACGAAATATTATTGTTTTCGAAATAGTTTTGACAGTTGCGACGCTAACTACGTTTCTATTCGATGCAAACAGAGGAAATTACGCGCCTTTTACAGTTTGTCTATTGAACCACGAAATGTGAGGTTAGGCTCGGTGGCGCACTATTCGAAGAACGAACATTTTATGTCAAATGAAATATTTCGGAGAGAAAATTTGGAAAAAAATATATCAAAAGAGAATAATTTCAAGAATCAAAATATTTCAATAGAATTAAAATAAATGCTATCCCATTCATGGGGTTTTCCAAATTATTAAATCCACTCGTTTTATTGCGTGTCTTTCGTAAGCAAAACTATCAACAACAACTTATCTACATTTGACAATGATGTGGCCATCGTGGAAATGGAATTGTATCCTTAATATTGCTAATGCCGAGTAACACTTGTAAATATCGATCGAAACCGATGCCAAATCCACCAGTGGTGCATCCACCATATTTTCGAAGATCCAAGTACCATTTCAGATCGTGTGGAACGGATGGTTCAAGTACTTCGTAGCTATCTTCACGAACACTTCCACCAGCCAATTCACCGACGCTCGGCATTAGAAAATCGATAGCTTCAACTAATTTTGAGTCATGTTTGCAGGTGCGCATGTAGAATGGTTTCAACTCTCGTGGCCAATTGACTACAAACACTGGCTTTTGGAAGTGTTTTACCAATGTTAGCTCGTCACTTTTCGATAGGCCATCTTTTGCATTGAATTTATATTTTTGTTGTAAAATCTCAGCAGCTTCAGCGTAAGTTACAGTTGCGAATGGGGTTTTTAACCATTTAAAACGATCCTCCTCACTTTGGGCTTCCTTTTCTTCGGTAAAAGTGGCTTTGTAAGCTTCATCTACCTCTTTGGCATTGTCATCCAGCAAACATTTCGTTACACTTTTGATCGTTGATTCTATTCGCTTGGTGATGTCTCCAACACTCTCTACAAAACTCTCTTCGGCTTCAATCATATAAAATTCGCTCATGTGAATCGATGAATTGCAATTCTCTGCACGAAATACTGGGCCAAAATTGTAGACCGAGCCTAATCGAAAGCACATCGCTTCCAAATGCATTTGACCGGACAGCGTTAGAAAAGTTTTCCGATCGAAATAAATTTCGTCTTTTGGTTTTGTTGCCGTTTCACTTTGCATATTTTGCAATAGCTCATCGTTGTGTGGCACCACCGATAGCAATTCACCAGCTCCTTCGCATGAGTTTGATGTCAATATTGGTGTATGAATGTAAACAAATCCATTGTCGTTGAAATGCCGATGAAATGCCAGACTGGCAAAATGTCGTGCACGGAAAAAGGCTTGAAATTGGCTGTTGTGTGCTCGCAAATGCAAATGCTATTCAATTAATAAAAATAAAAAAGTTTATATTTCATTCAACCATTCATTCAAGATCTCAATTAAAAACCTGTCTGATGTAATCGAGCGAATGGTTTTGCTTACGAACAAATGGATAGATTTTATCTTCAATGGCACAAGTTCCATTCAGGCGAAGTTTCTCAGCTCGTAGCTCAAGGTGGCCCCGTGGTGCTGTTCCGATTTGCCCGATGATCGATACTGCCGCTCCATAAGTCAGTCCTGGGTTTTGTCGGTGAGTTTCACGATCAACCAACACTTGTAAATGCTCATTTGATGATCCATCCTTCAGGTCCAGGAATACGAATTTACTTTGCTTTCGGAAATTATTCACCCAGCCTCTGACTTCAATGGTATTCCCAACATGGCTATTGTTCACGTCTTTAATTTTTGTGTAACCTGACTTGAGTCGCGCACAAATTCGACGAGCTCCATGATTTAATTGCGGAAAACTTCCCAAAATCATTTCACACAAAGTGTTTGGTTAACCGGAGAAAAACACACATTCGATTGGCGTTTGACATTTTGTGTCACATTGAAATTGTTTTTGACAAACTCATCCGTTGTTGCTGTTTCAAGAAGTGTTTTGCTGCTTTTGTTAATCGTGCGACGTACACGATGAAATAAGCAACGAAAAATAGATTTTCGTTAAAATCATTTTATTTCATGGGAGAGTTGACAAAATTGAAAATTGAAGTAAATTAATAACCGAAGATATGAACACAAATAAAAAAAAATGTTCATCACACACATCGAAAACACTGGAACAAATCCAAGAACGTTGAAAGGTTTTTTTCCAAACATTCACAGTGATACGGATTGAGATGAGGAAAAAGAGGAGGACAGCGCGATGTTCACACATTGCAAGTAAACATTGAACATGACATTCACAAGTGAAACCATTCAACATTGGCGAAAATGTGCGATTTTGGTCTTTGACACTTCTACAGTATGCTGACAATCGAGCAATCAAGTTGAGGTGATACACCGATTACACGGGCTAGACAGCAAGAAAAAAACACTCTTGGTTCTGTGTGAGTGTGTCATATCATTCTATACCGCATGCACGGTTTTAGCACTGCTATTTTCTTTTTCGTTTCGAATCAGTATCGTCCGTACCACTCAATATGCGTGACGAAATCGGTGTAGCAGTGTGTGTAAATTTATGTGACAGTTATTTCAATATAAATAAGCGAAAAAAGGCAGAAATAAACGTGTAATCTTCCCTTGATTTTCCTAAACGACTGAGAAAAAAACAACGAAGAAGCATCTATACGTTGGGAAAAAATAGAATACTCAAAGTGTGAGCTCGCAAAAGAAATTGTCGCATCAATTTCAGTGAAAAAAAGTGGTAGCATTTTGCAATATCGTGGCTGGCATTCAATCGTGTGTGAGGAATGGGCGAGAGAGATTGGCGGCCGTTTGTTTACGGAGGTAAATTGTGATAAATGACTTTCCAAGCAGAATCAATGCATAAAAAATAAAGCACCTTGTTTGTGCATAATGAAAAATAAAGCACCTTTTCATTGACATGTTGTTGTTTTACATTTGCAGGAGTGGCGTCAATCACCGCAGAATTCGGTAAATTGGAATTCTTTCGTACTGTTTCTCATTCTTTCTCTGTTCCACATACACATATAGATTAGACCAATTAGAATAAGCAAAATTACATAACCTCAATTGTTTGTTGTTTGCCAATGTATCGGTTGTGGTTTTTTTACGAGGTGTTATCAACTGATTATTTTTCTGTTTTCTTTCGCCTCTGTTGCAGGAACATTTCCGATTGATACGACTAAAGTGAGTTTATTCACAGCTGTTCTATTGTTTTGTCACTTTTTTTTTCTTCGTGTGATTCTCTTTTTTTTTGTTCGGTGTCAATGCTACTCTTGTCGCGGAAATTTAATCAATTTATTTTTTTTTTTCTTATTTTTAACAGACTCGGCTGCAAATTCAAGGACAAAAACATGAACACACCAAATTGCGATACAATGGTATGACAGATTGTTTCGTACAAATCAGACGTCAAGAAGGTGTTAAGGCTTTGTATTCAGGGTAATGTATCTTATCTTCTCACATTTTTCAAATGTCTTCTTACAATCGATTTTTGATTTGATCAGATCGATACCATTTTACCATACTCTTATCAGAGTCTGGTAACCAGACAAATAATAACGATAAAACTAATCATCGATTGCGATTTATCCATTTTTCAATTTTATTAGTTTATGGCCTGCAGTACTTCGGCAAGCAACTTATGGAACCATAAAATTCGGTACTTATTATACGCTTAAGAAATTAGTCACAGAAAAAGGCTGGTTAATCGATAAGCATGGCAACGAACGTGTTTGGTGCAATGTTTTGTGTGCAGTCATAGGTAATTTTACATTTAAATCGCATCCAGACAGGCGAATGATGTCACATATTAAAATTAGATATGAAATCATACCTTTTTTTCTATATTTTCATTTCTATCATTCAGCTGGTGCAATAAGCAGTGCAATTGCTACACCCACCGATGTACTAAAAGTTCGAATGCAAGTGCATGGACGCGGTACGGACAAAGTTGGATTGATTGGTTGCTTCCGGGAAATTTATCACCATGAAGGAATCTCAGGTTTATGGCGAGTATGTATCGAAATGGGATATTTTTGTCTTTCATTTTGACCTTTTTTCTCTTCTTTTCAATACAATTAAAAATAATTTGACTTTTTCAAATGCAATTTTAATTTGCATTGTTTGCATGAGTCTTTTTCCATTTCCTTGTTAATTGAACTTTTTTCAAGAAAGAACAAAAAAATAAAAAATAAAATAACAATTCGTTCACTTTGGCAATTTTTCAGGGTCTCGGGCCAACAGCTCAACGAGGTATTGAGGAAAGAGTGCAAATTAAGTACTATATCATCAACATCAAGCTAATTAATTTGTATCTAATTTTAGCTGCTGTAATTGCTGCCGTCGAATTACCCGTGTACGACTTCTGTAAATTGCATTTGCTCGAAACATTCGGAGATCATGTCGCAAATCATTTCATGTAAGGCAAACGTCGTTTAACCGACGATTTTTAAAAATGCTGCTAATTTTCATATTTCGCGCTTCGTTTTAGATCCAGTTTTATAGCTAGTTTTGGTAGTGCGGTCGCTTCGACGCCGATCGATGTAATTAGGGTAATTAAAGATTATTTACATAATTCGTATTTATCGCTTCTGAAATAACTCTAATTCATGATGTTGTTTTCTATACACAGACGCGTCTGATGAACCAGAGAAAATTAATTACAAATCAATCATCGGCACAAAATCAAGCGGCTTTACGATTGTACAAAGGGAGTATAGATTGTGGCATCCAAACGGTGCGCAATGAAGGATTTCCAGCGCTGTATAAAGGCTTTATTCCAACGTGGGTGAGAATGGGCCCGTGGAACATAATATTCTTCATAACATACGAACAACTCAAACAAATGCACTGAATGCGCGCCCATTGTATTGCTATTGAAAATTGATCACCGAATCGTTGTACTGAGACGAATCAAGATGTAACTTTGATCAGAATTGAATTCTTTGTCAATTGTGTTTTGTGTGTTGAACAGATTTTTATAATATTTTAATACAAGAAGAATGGAAACAAATAGTACTACATGAAAAACCAAAAACCAAAAAGAAAACAAGAACGCGTGATAAATAGAAAATGAGACGACTTAAACTTATAAAATAGGACAATTACATTCTTTATAAAGCTGTTTACCAATTTCAACAAGCCGAAGAGAATAAACATGAACGTTAGGAAATTCTTTCAATGATTTCCAGACATTTGTATATTTGTATCACTCACTGCATTTACAATTTTACTGCAAAAAAATAAAACTATAGACCATTTGTTAATTTCCAAATAAAAACCATTCAATGGACAAACAAACTCAACAACAATCGTAGTTTGATTCAATCAATTTCCAATAGCGTTTTTTCCTACATTTCCTTATCAACGTGAAATTTTATTCTTTTTTCTTGTTTTGACGTACAGTGAAACGTTCCAGACATTTTTCTATTTCAAATGCATGTAGAGAGTCTTATATGGATTTTCGTTGTATCAAGTGATTAACGAATGGAATTTATACCATGAATCATCAATTTGCTAAGCATAAATAAAAATTAAATAAATCACGTAATAAATACGGATTGACAAATGATAATCTCAAGGTCACCACGGGAGCGCACAAGTGAATGTTTTGTTTCTGTTTACAAAGAACATTCAAACCGATATAATCAAATTGTTTGCTATCAAACTTTGTCCCTCTCACTAACTATCACACTTACTTGCTCGTGTACAAATTGCTGTTAAGAAAGAGATTTTGTTCGCAGTGGACTCAGTTTTAATGTTCTTAGCTGCTTGATATGTAATCAGTCCGATCACATCAAAGTTTTTTTTCTCAAATAAATTGAAAAAATCGATTTCGAATATTTTTAATAATGTTTATTTGCAATATTGTTTTCATAGAATAATTGGTTGTGATTTTTCTAATACATAAAAATATAACTTTTTATAGTGGAGTAATTCCAATCCCTGTATTTTCACATATTTCACAATTCATTCTCTTAACTATTTTGATTGATTGTATCACGCCTTCAGAACAATTATGATGAATATACAACTATTTTCTTTTATTCAGTTGGCTATAGTGTAGGGGCTTTTATCTCTATTCGCCAATACAAATTTATATGCGAAATGGTTAAAATATATGGCGTATAGAATTTAATATTTATATATGAAATATGCACAAAATATACGGCAATTATACGTGGTTATACGTATTTATATGAAACATTCGTCTGTGCCGGTATTCTACAACACATTCCGAACACTTTGTTCGGAACGTTCAATTGC